GCCCAAGTTTCTTCTTAAAAGGGCTAGAGCTTTTCACATCATCATAAGACAGATTCCAGAACCCGCCAAAATCCATCACTAGTCAAAAAATTCACAAGAGTTGGCAATACTGCAATAGTTTTGGCCTGGAGATAAAACAGTGTTCTTAGGATTTTACCAGCTTTCACAAACTCTACATTTCCAGATGACACTACAAAATGCTGTAAAAATATAGTTGTTCAAGGTTCCCCTATCAAACCAAATTAACTGCTAAACTGCCACTATATATGAAAAGCAATTGATTGTGCTTTCAATATAGCTTGCTTTGTTTGGTAGGTGTCCCAAGAACCAAATATAACAACAACAACAAGAACAAGAAGAAGAACAAATACCCACACATGCACTCTAGAAAAGATTGAACAATTCACTAAGGTGGATTCATGTGCAAAAGCCGACACATCCATCACATTTCCTCATTCCCATTACAAGAGTAAAAGTTCTATCCCTATTAAGATCACGTTCTGCTATGTGATATTCTGGGTTTAAAATATAACTTGTGGAAGTTCATCTAAGCAGAAACTAATGTCATATCAATTACATCAATACACTGTGCTTTGGAGATTATGATGACCCTGCTGTCATGAAAGTGTCACAGACTATTACATGGATGAATCCTTCAGGGGAATAAAATCTTCTTTGCAATATAAATATAAGTAAACAAAGAGGCGTCAAATATAAGCACTTTTAAGACTGATTACCTGCATTCAAAAGCTAAACAATTATCTCCAGGTAACAGAAAGTTATATTCTTCCCTGTTCATCAAAGCTTTCTGGGTGCTGTGAAGGTATTCTTCATATCATCCATTATGTTTAATCAATTTTAACAAAGCCATGTCTATAGGATTCAATGTGACAATATAGTAATAGCAGTTACACCCATGAAATCCCACTGAGGTCTATATGGTTGCATGGGAGTAATCGAGAGGAGAAAGTGACCCAACATCTAAACATCTAGTCTGGACAGAACAGAGCAGGATACTCTGAAGCCAAACCAAAAAATAATCTACATAGCTGGTAAAATGCTCATTGTCCCAGCTATTGAAAATTGCTACATTCTTGCAAAACCAGGCCTGATTCTGTCAGCCTTCCCAGCAGGAAGGGCCATCTGAAATCAGTGTGAGCTGTACATTGGAGAGCTTGCAAGTTCAGACTCTAACTTTCTGCCTTTTCTCCCCCAATGTTGCTTTCAGTGTATTTATGTATTATTTACCAACAGGAACACTGGCAATTTTTATGAAAATAACTAAAATACCACCTTTTATGCTTGTGGATCATAAGAACACACCTCTGCATCTTATTTCATTAGTATTTTATAGGCTGTATTTTGTCTGAATATGAAAGGTACTTCCCCACACTGCCACCATCATCATGAGTGACATCCTCTCAGATAAGAGGCTAGCAAAATCCCTTAGAGATATGTGCCATTCGCTTTTTACCCCTTTTCCACCCATTTCCTTATTAAAATATTTACCAACTTTTTAAGGCAGAGTGAGTTCCCTATGACCAACTCCAACATTCATTTCTAAGCTTTCTAGAATCAAGAGCTTTAATGCAATGGTACATTGAAGTTAGCAATTCCAATGGAAGTGCACATGCACATTTATTTTGCACTTACTGGCATGGGCACTTCGTTACATTTAAATTCTTGTAGTTCAGACTATAATGTTTCACATGTACATATCTCTCAGCCACAACAGAAGGTCCATGAAGGTGTCTGAGATGTGTTACTGGTCAAAGTGAGAGCTCAGCAGCCTACATGCATGTAGGGAAGAGCCAGGTACCTTCCACAGAGGCTCTGGAGCTTTTCCAGTGACTGAGACTTAACAGAATCATAGAAAATTAGGGTTGGAAGAGATCCTCAGGAGGTCGTCTAGTCCAACCCCCGGCTCAAAGCAGGACCAACCCAAACTAAATCATCCCAGCCAGGGCTTGGTCAAAGCATGTCTTAAAAACCTCTAAGGATGGAGATTCCACCACTTCCCTAGGTAATCATACCAGTGCTTCACCACTCTCCTAGTGAAATAGATTTTCCTAATATCCAACCTAGGCCTACCCCACTGCAATTTGAGACCATTGTTCCTTGTTCTGTCATCTGCCATCACTGAGAACAGCCTACCTCCATCCTCTTTTGAACCCCCCTTCAGATAGTGGAAGGCTGTTATCAATCCCCCCTCACTCTTCTCTTCTGCAGACTAAATAAGCCCAGTTCCCTCAGCCTTTCCTCATAAGTCATGTGCCCCATCCCCCTAATCATTTTCGTTGTCCTCCGCTGGACTCTCTCCAATTTGTTCACATTCTTTCTGTAGTGGGGGGGGGACCCCAAAACTGGACGCAATACTCCAGATGTGGCCTCACCAGTACTGAATAGAGGGGAATAATCACTTCCCTCGATCTGCTGGCAATGCTCCTACTAATGCAGCACAATATTCTGTTAGCCTTCTTGGTAACAAGGGCACACTGTTGACCTATATCCAGCTTCTCGTCCTGTGTAATCCCCAGGTCCTTTTCTGCAGAACTGCCACTTAGCCAGTCGGTCCCCAGCCTGTAGTAGTGCATGGGATTTTTCCATCCTAAGTGCAGGACTCTGCACTTGTCCTTGTTGAAGGTCATCAGATTTCTTTTGGACCAATCCTCCAATTTGTCTAGGTCACTCTGGACCCTATCCCTACCCTCTAGCATATCTACGTCTTCCCCTAGCTTAATGTCATCTGCAAACTTGCTGAGGGTGCAATCCATCCCACCATCCAGATCATTAATGAAGATGTTGAACAAAACCGGCCCCAGGACCGAACCCTGGAGTACTCTGCTTGATACCGGCTGCCAACTAGACATCGAGCCATTGATCACTACTCATTGAGCCTGACAATTTAGCCAGCTTTCTATCCACCTTATAGTTCATTCATCCGATCCATACTTCTTTAACTTGCTGGCATGAATACTGTGGGAGTATCAAAAGCTTTGCTAAAGTTAAGATATATCACGTCCACCGCTTTCCCCATATCTTCTCCAGACCAATGGTTGTAACGGCTTCAGGCCCTTATTCAGCTTTCCCTACTACCACCACCACAACAGTTAAATGATGGAAAGATCCATACAAGAACAAGTCTTCTGGTCGTGGCCCACACAGTCTTGTGTCCACCTTTCCCCTGCACAGTACCCTCAGAACCACATCAATTCCACTTCCTAGGGGAACTCTACAGATAGGGAAGAGGCTGAATTTGGTCCTCAAATTCTGCTGCACACTGTTTGTCTGACTTCAGTATGAGTTCCACAGTCCAAAGGACTGAAAAGTGCAGTTTACCTTTAATAGAGTATGTGGACTAAACCAATATAAGGGATTAATTAACACAATTATTTCTTAGGGTTTGAAAAATTGACCTCATCTGCATTTTTTCCCACTTCTGATAAATCACTAATGTAAAAAAAAGATAAAATGTTCTCATCAGTGTCCATCATGATACTTATAAAGCATGCTACGTTTCATCTCCTTGTATTTACAGCAACAGTTACAGCAGACCAGAGAAATCACAACAGGTATTAATCAAATACATCAATCTTTAGGGTGAGAGTGGTTTGAAATAAATGTACACCTTATCTTTTTATGCTAAACTTCTACACCAACCAAATGAAAATGGATCACTTTCTTTATGCCTTAACAACTTAAATTCAAAAGAATATTTATTGGAAACATCGGAAACATCATTGCAAACTTACAATATGCTGCATACTTTGTCATCGTAACATTCCCCGTTTGTCAGTTACCTATTTTGCTCAAGGTTTTCTTTAAAATCATTAAAGAATCATTCAAACCCACTTGAATTAGACAGGGATTCCCTGTTCAAGGAAATGTCATAGGATGAAAGAAAAAATCTTTCTGGAAAGCATAAATATATTGCAAACTACGGACAATGTTCACATCAACCAAATGGTTTGGTTTATTACCTGAAGCAAAAACAGCTTCCACTTTGAAGCTAAATTGAAAATGACCTTGTGCTGTTTTATAAAAGGCTGGCAGCTGAGGTCATTGGAGTATATTGTGATAGACAGTGCTACTCTGCGTATGGTTAGGAGGCATGTCTGGTATGTGGATTACAGCCAAATGGGGGTGTGCAGGGTGTGAGGGGGGGGGATTCAGTAAAGAATAATGTATCAATTCATCTGAAAATAATGACAGATGTAATCTACAACAATTATGACTTTCATGAAAGAACATACATTTTCAGTAACTTTGTTTTGCCATGAAGTATGTTCTGCTCTTTTCAATTTAATACCTATAAATTAAGTATATTCTTTAATAGCCTCTTCTGACAGCGGCATAAGCAACCGTAACTATATTTCTCCAGCAGGCAGATCCCAGCTGCATAGCAGTTTATGCAGTGTAGGTTGTTGTGGTGGTGGTTTTTGTTGGGGTTTTTTTGTTTTGTTTTTTTAGCACCCTGCATGGCTTAAAATTGACTAAATCACTGAATCAAAACCAATGACATAGAACAGGACCCAGAACACATAGCAATTATTTAATCAAGTTTTAAATATGTAAATACAAAGCAACCTCCAAATTATTCACTATTGTAGGAAAATCATTAAACTGATTTTAAAAGAAAATAATTTGCAAAAAGACATTTTCTACAATTCATTCCCTAACAAATGTACAAAGAAGCACCATCACAGGAATTTAATCTGTCAATAGGACTGCATGAGTCCTCCAGTTGTTTCTATAATAGCAGTTTTCCACCAGAATAGCGTGATTGACAGATTCTTATTTTTAAACGTCTGCCTCTTTTAGCGGCAGCTTAATGTTACGATGGGGTTTCAAAGCAGGTGGAAAAACTCACACTTCTGATTAAAAAGAGAACTGCTTCTAATCCTGTGTTTTCCACTGTGCCTGAAAGTGTCCTATATATAGAAGAAATCCTGTCACTTCTGAAGTATTTAGAGAAGAAGAAAAAAATGCTTATAACTTACCGTTAAAGTTTACAGCCCGGATATAACTAAGTAGCTCTTTACCATCAATCGTGCTCATCCTTGTACACAGACCAATATATCCAGGACAGAGCTCTTTATGCATGCTATGTAGTGCATAGGCCATGGAATATACAGCATCAATTACAAACTGGACCTTTCCTTCTTGCTCATAGGCTGAATCTCTTGCAATTCTTTCTAAGCCTATGGAAAAGAAAGGGAAAAAAGAGTCAGATCACTTTGTGCTTGTGCGTATGTGCATAATCCTATGTGCATTCCTAGAGTACATCATAAACAATTAGAGTCAATTGATCGATCAAATTAGGGCCCAGATATCCATCAGTGGAACACATTAAACAAGATAAAATATGGCCATCTGGTTTTACCGCTAATCATTATTTACTAAGCCAGGTTTATAAACTGTATATTGAGTTCTGGGCTGGGAAAGAGGAGAAAATATTTGATTATGATAAAAATAGAAAAAATATATAGATTTGTATTTCCAAAATCTCTCTTTCTGGCTTACTGACTCCCATTGGACAGCTGGTTACTGTTATTTATAGGACACTTTTACAGCAGCCTGCCATTCTGGTTTAAATGAAATTTAGTGAATACATTGATTTTTATCTACATCTATTGTTTGATAAACATTACTTAAACATGTTGAAAAGAAGGTGAATATTTGCCAAGTGCTGCTGCCATCTGTCTCTGTGTTTAAGAAAGCCTATTTTGAGGTCTTTTCCCTATATTTAACACTAAGTTATTCCTCAAATTGAGAATCATGTATCTTATTCTAATTTATTTGCTTCTTTTTCTCATAAAGCCTTTATTTTCCATAGAAAAAAATTCAGACCAAATGAGTGCCACACATGGGTCACATGAATAGCTTGAGGTATGGGTGATTAGGATGGGCAGAGCACACCTAACCGAGAACAAGAGGTGGATGATGTTTTTTTAAACAACTATCAAAATCATCCAAAGCACAGGACTTGGTGGTGACGGGGGACTTCAGCGACTGAGACATCTGTGGGGAAAATACTACAGCAGAGCACGGATTATCCAACAAGTTCTTGAAATGCACTGGAGATAATTTTTTATTCCAGAAGGTGGAGAAAGCAACTAGGGGAGAGGCTATTCTAGATTTGATTCTGACAAACAGGGAGGAACTAGTTGAGAATTTGAAAGTGGAAGGCCGCTTGGGTGAAAGTGATCATGAAGTTCATGACTCTATGGCATAGGTGCAAGAACAAGGGGTGCGGGGTGCTGCCGCACCTCCTGGCTTGAAGTGGTTTCCATCATATACAGGGTTTACAGTTTGATTCAATGGATCTCAGAACCTCCACTATACAAATTGTTCCAGCACCCATGCTCTAAGGAATGGTCGGAGGGAAAACAACATAATAAAGACAATGGACTTCAAGAAAGCCAATTTTAGCAAATTCAGAGAATTAGTAGGCAAGAGCCCATGGGAAGCAAGTCTAAGAGAAAAAAGAATTCAGGAGAACTGGCTGTTTTTTAAAGAGATATTATTAAGCACCAGAGCAAACTATCCCAATGAGAAGGAAAGATAGGAAGTATGGTCAGAGACCACCCTGACTTAACCAAAAAATATTCAGTGACCTGAAACTCAAAAAAGAGTCAGACAAAAAGTGGAAACTAGGTCAAAATACAAAGGATGAATATATATATATATATAAAACAAGCAAGTAGGGATAAAGTTAGAAAGACCAAGACACAAAATGAGATAAAACTAGCAAGGAATATAAAGGGTAACAAGAAAAGATTCTATAAATGCTTTAGAAACAAGAGGAAGACCAAAGACAGGGTAGGCCCATAATTCAGTGAGGAGGGAAAGACAATAAGAGAAAATGCATCAATGGCCAAAATGTTAAATGCCTTTTTTGTTTCAATTTTTACCAAAAAAGTTAGCAGTGATTGGATGACTAACATAGTGAACATCAGTGTAAATGGGATAGCATTTAAGGATAAAACAGGAAAAGAACAAATTAAGAATTACTTAGACAAGTTACATGTCTTAAAATATGCAGAGGCTACTCAAATGCATCCTAGAATACTTGGTGAACTGGCTGAAGAGATTTCTGAGCCATTAGCGATTATCTTTGAGAACTCATGGAGGATGAGAAAGTTCCCAGAGGACTAGAAAAGGGCAAATATAGTACCTATCTATAAAATGGAGAATAACGACAATCCAGGGAATTATAGAACAGTCATCTTCACTTTGATACCCAGAAAGATAATGGAGGAAACAAACAATCAATTTCTAAGCACCTAGAAAAAATAAGGTGACAAGTAACAGTCAACATGCATTTTTCAAGAACAAATCATGTCAAACCAACCTAATATCCTTCTTTGACAAGGTAACAAGCCTTGTGGATGGGGGGAAGCAGCAGATGTGATATATCTCAACCTTAGTAAGGCATTCGATATTGTGTCACATGACCTTCTTACAAACAAACCAGAGAAATATAGCCTAAACAAACCTACTATAAGGTAGGTATGCAACTGGTTGGAAAAGCATGCACTAAGCATAGTTATCAATGGTTCATAATTAAGCTGGAAGGGAATATTAAGTAGGGTCCCGGAGGGATCTGTCCAAAATCCGGTTCTATTCAATAGCTTCACAAATTATTTGAATAATGGCATAGAGCATACATGTATAAAGTTTGTGAGTGATACCAAGCTGGGAGGGGTTGCAAGTACTTTGGAGGGCAGAATTAGAATTCAAAATTATCTTGACAAACTAGAGAAATGATCTGAAATAAATAGGATGAAATTCAATAAGGACAATGCAAAGTACTACTGTTAGGAAGGAATACTCAATTGCACAAATACAAAATGGGAAATGACTGCCTAGGCAGGAGTACTGCAAAAAAAGATCTGAGGTTTATAATGGATCACAATCTAAATATGAGTTAACAGTGTAATACTGTAAAACCCAAACATCATTCTGTGATATATTAACAGGAATGTTGTAAGCATGACACAAGAATGAATTCTTCTACTCCACTCAGCAATCATAAGGTCTCAACTGGAATATTTTGTCCAGTTCTGGGCACCACAGTTCAGAAAAGGTATCGACAAATTCGAGAAAGTCCAGAGGAGAGCAACACAAATGATTAAAGGTCTAAAAAACATGACCAATGAGTTAAAAATGAAAAATCCTGGGTTTGTTAGTCTGGAGATGAGAAGACTGAGGAGGGATGTGATAACAGTCTTCAAATGTGTAAACGGTTATTATAAAGAGGTGCATGATAAATTGTTCTCCTTAACCACTGAGCACAGGACAAGAAGTAATGAGCTGAAACTGCAGCAAGGGAGATTTAGGTTAGAGATTAGGAAAAACTTCGTAACTGTAAGAGTAGTTAAGCATTGGAACAAATTATCTAGGAAGTTGTGGGAATCTCCGTCATTGGAGGTTTTTAAGAACAGGATAGACAAACACCTGTCATGGATGGTCTAGATCTAGATAATACTTAGTCCTGCCACAGTGCACTGGACTGGACTAGATAGCCTATTGAGGTCCCTTCCAGTCGTACATTTCTATGATTTCTATGTCTTAGACAGAGATTGATATTTTAAGCAAGAATTAGCAAAAAATGGAAGGGAAAATTAGTTAACTTAAGTAGATATCAAGATGTCATGAAGTCTATTGAAATTTTGCCATTGGCATCAAAGGAATTAGAATTTCACCAAATACCAGGATGAAATCCTAGATCACTGACATCAATGGCAATACTCCCGCTGACTTCAATGGGGCCAAGATTTCATCCAGAGATCTGTTAATTACCAGCATACTCAGTCAGTCAATAGACTTGTGTGGGAAATGTGGGTACCCAGTACCTCTGAAAACCAGCTCACTACTTTCTTTATCTACTAATGGAATATTAGTGAGAACATTGCAATTTCTGCAAAGGTACTAGTTCTTTGAAATAACATACATTTGGGGCACATTTCGGATTGATTGTAAGCTATCGGATAGACATTTTCCAAGCTGTGTTGTGACTTGAGGGGTAAATCACATGGTACTGCACCTGTTCTCTGACTGGATGTGTTTACAAGCTCTTGCTTGCAAATACTCAAGCATGCACATTTAAAATTTATGCTCTAGAAATAAATATTAGGGCATAAAACATTGAAATTCACAAACATTTATGCAACTAAATCAATGGCACAAATGTGCAAACAGCAAACTTTCTTTTTGCTAAACAATTAAAGAAAAATATGTAGTCCCATTCTCCTATCTTAGATTACGAATGTTCATTATTCAGAGATCTAGTTACCCATCAGTGCACATGGGATTTATATAAACAGCCTCTATTTGCTATAAGCTTTCATTTTTATTCCTCATAAATATGTGGTCATAAATCACTTTACCACCATAAATTTAGAAACAGCTTTATTATTTTAGTAGTACTTTAGTAGTAGTATTTTCTTAATTAAAAGGTGGGAGAATGACATAACAGGATTACTCTGTTTCAAAGATGCTAAAGATCTTTAGCAAGTAGCTCTTAAACCAAATATTTTACACCAAAGCTCTATGCTTTCCATAATTAAGTGCAAGAGGAAAACTGCAAATCAGGTTTCTGTTCAGGTCATTCTTCTTGAGATTTTCACCAGTTTTCTCTTTCTAGCATTCTCAAACATCTAAAACAGTAATTTACAAAGATGACAGTGACTCATCAACTTAATTGGCTGTAAAATTTGATTATGCTGTACTTCCCAAAGTAAATGTTAATGTATAGCTGTAAAATGGTGCATATCGTCAATGTTATAAATATGGCAACCACCCACAAAAAAGTCACACCTTTAGTAGTCATTATTATCAAACATTATTTTTATTTATCCATGGGTATCAAGTTACAACATTTTCATTTATAGCTAGAAACTAAGGTTTATAGGGCATCTTTCTACTTAGAATAGAGCCTTAATGAAAGAATACAACACTATAAATCTTGCAGCAGAATTTTTTAATAATTTCATTAACAAGCTCTACAGTTTGTGATCTTGCATTGTATATTCAGGCAAAATTCCCATAGAACTCAAGAGGACTGCAGAACTTTATCTTCATACAGATAACAAAGCAAATACAACTTGGACTAAATAATATAATGTAGGCTAGCATATTAAGTTGTTCAGATATTAAGGTGATGATAATCTTGTTTGTTTTTTCTAACAGAATACAT